AAGCAGTGGTATCAACGCAGAGTACTCGCGAATTTTATGTTCACTCGAAGGATCCTTAGGTGGAAATTCCACGAAACAGGCGATCTTTACATTTCAGGCAAAACTCATGAGGACGTGATTTCGTAGGCCCGTAACTCGGCGAGAGCTACAAATTGAAGTCAGGTGCATGCACCGTTCAATAGCACGCTTTCTAGTGAATTCAACTTGTAGAGGTAAGCAAGCAGATTTTCCAAGAGGTGCTCGAAATATGCAGGCGAATCTACGAGGTATCGCGGCTTGCTCAGACAACTGCATCGGAAAGTTCGCGGCCTCAAAGCGTGTTACATGGCGCGCCGCGGCCCTTAAAATTTCAGCCACACGCCGCGGCCCATGTATATCTTACCGGGAACGCCGCGGCCAAAGTTGAAATCGGGAAGAGATTACCGGGAAGGTCGCGGCCCAACCACCTCACTCGGCGAGCCGCGGGCCCTATCAAAGGCCGCACTTCTTACACGCCGTAGTTTAAGGCGCAACCCTCGTAAGGTACGTCGCAGCAGTGAGGCTACCCTAAGTGTTTATGAGGCTGGGTATCGCTTCTCGGATTTGGTCCTATCTGACAGAGTTGAGTTTTTGTATTGATGAAATAAACCTCAGCAGTCGGATGAGTATTATCGACATTAGATGATGTCGACCGATGAGCTAACAAGTTGCTCAATTTGTGCTCAAGTCTTTGTCATGAAAGACACGCCAAAAGATTTTTCACTCTCCCTAGGCCTCATAAGCATGCTAATCGGGTCAACTATCGGGCGCTTACAGGGTGCACCACGGTCACTTATCGGGTCCAATTTCGGTTTATACCGGGCAGCTCGCGGCATGGATGATTGGTGGTCGAGTAAGCACCCGTGAACTTCCCGATGCGATTGTCTGAGTTGGCTAAAGTTCACTCACCATATCTCTGCTAGAAAACTCTGTACTTCGCTCAAAAGACGATTTTCGTAAACAGCGTGTTCGAAAACCTCTTTGAGCGAAGTTTCCTTACAATTCAAGATTATCGACATTTTGACCAAAATCCACCGGCGAGCGTCAGGGCGTAAACGAGAAAAAAATCAAATCACCCGAATTTCTTCGAAAACTTGCTGATAGAGGTTATCTGACCTGCTGATTACGAAAATCACATTTGCTTGACAGGAGAGCTTCTCAATTTAGAGTTACGGTGGGCAAAATTTGACACAACACGATTTTTCCAGAATTCACCAGCTCTTCTATCTTTTTCGAAAAAGATTCTCCAGTTCGTTTTTAGCGCTCGGTAATCTGCGGGAGCAGCACAATCCAATAGTGCTTATTGGAGTCTTTTATGTTTGATGTGCGCTGCGTTGCGACCTTGCGAATATACGCGCGCAGAAAATTTTGAAAAAATTGGGAACGGAATTTCAAAGACATGCTGTATACCAAAAGATTCGCCTCGACGAGCTGAACACAATGCTGCTTTCGGATTCCGAAGACGTTCATTCTGAAGGAAGTTACGGCCAGTAGAACTTGAAGCAGTTTGATTTTTCCAGAGTTTATTAGCTCTTCTATCTCTTTTGAAAGAGACTCTTCGGCTGCTGTTTAGCGCAGGATAATCTACTGAAAGAGTACTATCGAATGGTGCAAACCGCAGTCTTCCATGTATGATGCTGATTGCGTTACACCCATACAAAAAGGCATCCGCATGCAAATTTGAGGTTTTTGAAAACAGGATATTGGAGACAATCTGTACAGCAAAAGATTCGTCTTAACGAGCTGAATACAATGCTGTTTTTGGATTTTGAATATACTCATTCGGAAAGAAGTTATGGCCCTGCGTAATTTGCGTGATTTACATGAATTTCGCGAAATTCCTGGAATGTCGCGAAATTCCTGGAATGTCGCGAAATTCCTGGAATGTCGCGAAATTCCTGGAATGTCGCGAAATTCCTGGAATGTCGCGAAATTCCTGGAATGTCGCGAAATTCCTGGAATTCCCGGAATTCTGCGACATTCACGGAAATTTTGCACATTCTGTGAGCGGTATTGTAGCCATCGATAGTAAATAGCATTTTGCGAGGTGTAGCGAAGGGGAAAAATATAATATCCACGTGACTATCATTGTAATGTTTGGTCAGCCCTAGTTAGATACCAACCACTTGGTGGAAATGAGTTTGCAAGAGTGAGGAAATAGGTTGAGGCGAGTTGGAAAAGGCTTTGCTTAAGCCTTTTTGTATGGAATGAGTGGATTCGCAAATGCGATATCTTATCGCACCGCATGGACTAAGTCCATTTTATTCGCACGAAAAGCCCATTTCGCGGGGACTTTCGTGGATATTATTCCGGAACTGCGATTGGATGGGCGAGCACGGAGGGCGGGATGGGAAGGCCCACCGATTGGAGGCGTGTTCGGGCCTCAGGCTCCCGTCAGAGTGCCGAAGTTATGCCAGCGCTACGCCAGCATTTCGATCGATACACGTGTATTTCGTTGGGGCGGGGCTAGCTCAGCAGGTAGATGTCCCCAACGAAATAAGCGTGTATCGATCGAAATGCTGGCGTAGCGCTGGCATAACTTCGGCACTCTGGCGGGAGCCTCACCCAAAGCATTTTCTCGCATGCCGCACCTTTTGCAGCGAGACTTGGGCGGTTACTTTGTTAGAATATCCGTTACTATGCGACATCAAGATATCACCATTCACGATCTGGGTAGACGGTATTTCTAAATAGCTGACCATCATTAGAAAAATGTTCACTTTATAACTTCAATAGGTAAAATGGAATATGGATCTGTGGTCGGACCACATTTAGCTTCAAAGCATTTTATCACATTTCACCCCTTCTTCAACGCAGCATATTACTGCTTCCTTCTCTTCGTCCGCTTACGATAAAAGTGCGTAAAGGTAACAAAGTCAATTTCTTGCTACAGAGCAGCAGTGACTAGTCTAAAAGAACAGGAAAAAATACTACAGACAACGATATGTTCAACCCTCATGCTTCAGATGCTCCGGTTCATGACGGAGTGCATGACCAGCGTTGGAGTATCCCAATCGCATGCAAGGCAACTGGCTGAAGTTGCCGTCGAAGCTGACGTTCGTGGCCATTACAGTCATGGCCTGAATCGGCTTGGTAAAGTTCAATATATTCGCGGCTTTGGTATTCCTTGAGAATTGATTGCCAATGTTTTACTTTTGTAGAGATGTACGTGAAGGATGTGGAGAAGAAGGTGTGCAAAGCTGAGGGTGAACCAAAAATATTGAAGGTTGATAATTATCGGTATTCAATGTCTTAAAATTGAAAAGTAGATCACTATAGGAGCGAGCAGCTTCCGCTTGGGTAGACGGCGATAACCTCTTAGGACCTGTAGTTGGTAATTTCTGCATGGATCTGGCAATAAAGAAAGCAAAGGACGCCGGTGTTGGATGGGTAGTTGCTAAAGGTTGGTGACAAACATTCCATTTTCGGATGTTCAAACTGAAGATAATTCCTGTCTAGGCTCGAATCACTACGGTATCGCTGGCTGGTACGTGATGAGAGCCATGCAAGAAGGCGTCATAGTTGGTTTTGATTAGTGAAGTAGATTTCACTGAAGCATAGAAGAAATTCAACTACCCCTTTCAGGGAATTACAATGACGAACACATCCCCGCTGACCTACCCGACCAGGGCTGCTGAACCGGCCATCGGCACGAACCCTATCGCTATCGGCGCTAATGGGACATCCGGTGACTCGTATCTGCTAGACATGGCCACGACTACGGTAGCCGTAGGAAAGGTATGTCATTGCTCAATGTATTCTCCATCATCTTGATGAAATTCGTGAAGGTTGAAGTGATAGTTAGGCTACTCGGCTGTTTATTCATGTTTCACACAACTGGAGAATCGGGCTTCTTTTCTACCTAGTACCATAGTTACAATCGTGCATAACTTAGTGATTATTCCGGCCAGTAGACAATTATGCGACTTTCAAAGATTAGGAAATTCCGCAAGTGGTTCGAGAGCTAAAGGACAAACAGCGTGTGAGGGGTCGAAGAAAGTCAAGGATATAAATCCGTAGAAGCGAGGTATCAGAGCTATATTCCTCTTAGGCCCCGGGCATACTTCTCGCGATTTCGGTCGCGACGCGATTTGGCAGTGTTGCAAGCGTCCATCACTCATCGTAGGCGCACTTCAAATGCACGGAAGATAGGACATTTTATCAATTTATGGAAATTATACGCACTATGAATTTGTAGTCCACAAGTACTGGGTTTGAAAACTTCAGGCAATTGCCAAATCCTGTGGCGATTGAAATTGCATGAAGTATGCCCGAGACCTTACGATTTAGCATATCTGACGCAGTTTGTCAGCCAAGCTTATCGAATCCCATGTTCGTCTATCTTGGTGAACTTATTGATGAAGACGAATTTTTTCCTCCTCTCTCTTTCCTAACTCCTAATTTTCTCCTTCTTCAAAGCTCAACCATTTGATTCTCATGGAAAATGGTATGAGTTCGATGCGCTTGCTTTTCTTGGGAACACCAGCTGACTGCAAAAGCTTGCCGCTTCTGCTCAACAACGTACCTAAGGAGCTTCGGACTTCCATCCTTCTCATTATTTTCTTCGCACTTCTAGTGATTTATATCACCCATGCTCAGTTCACCTTTTCGGTAGGCTAGTGCGAAATTTTGGTAATTAGTGCTTAGTAAAAATTGTGTCTCAGAGTGCTCTCTTTACCATCTTTTTTGTAGCTGGAAAGTACGCTTGGTCTATCCATTATATGTGAAGACGACGATAGTTGATTTTTTAGAATTTCTATATTCCCAATAGAATGTTAAGAATACTGGTGAACACATTTTTTTGCGGAAATATGCATAGAAGACAATCAAAAATGAACTGGAAAAATTATTGACGACAATGAAAGACATGAGAACCTCCATAATTTGGTAAAGCCAGAGCAATTTCTAAAACTTGTAGCATTATTGATTTTTTGTAAGAGTAAACTGAATAGTATCGATGTGATCGTTGGCAAATAGCGAAGAGCACAGACAAAAGTAGTACTGCCATCGTCTGTGGAACGTCTTTGAGTAACCTAGGTCGAGGATATTCTGCTCGTTTTTCATCCATGCGCTGAAATGTAATTGTTAAAATAGGTATTGGTATGGGCCGTAGTTAGACCAAATCATCTTCTATTTCTAACCTATTATTAGGAGCAAGAGGACATGGGGTTAGGGCAAGAATGGTAAGAAGGAAAATTATGAATGTCAATCACTGTAATCGCCTATATAGGAACGGCCCTTTCTAACACTCCAGCTTGTAATGCTCACTACTGCACTTTCGTCAATGCTCTATCTAGCTTCCCCAGCAAGGTATAATCAATTCCTTGATTTGAAGAAAAAATGGAAAAAACATCGAAACTATATCTTGCAAGGTTCAAGTTCGATCTGTTAATTTTGTTACTTAAAGTCTAGAAATACATTTTGTACTCTACTTCTCGAATTAGTCTATGGTGTCCCGAATTTCTGTAAATATTCGGTGCATGTCGACAAAGCTTAGCATTAGTATTCAATGGTTACCTCAGTTTTGTTTGAATAACTTCAAGAAGACAAACAATAGAGAAGTTTTGGCATGTTTGAGATGGAAGATTTTGGATGAATGAATTTTCAATGAAAGCACAAGCTGCATGTTTTGACTGACGTGAAGTAGCGAATGTTACACTTTCCTTACTTTCCCTTGTATTTGGCTAGGCAATGGTATCTTTCATCACTACAAGCCTGGAGAACGTTTTTCTTCGGCTTCCATACTTTGCCTTGTTTAGAAAACCTTGCTAATCACTATAACTGCTTTCATAATGTTATCCATGCGCTGGACATTTGGCAGAATAAAAAACTGCGGAGCCAAGGTGTTCCATCAAGGGTATCAGAAATAATGATTTTGATTTGTATCTCACGCCTGTGAGAAAGAGGAAGCACTGTTGAGGCACTGGGCAAGATACACCTTAATTTCATTTTTGATAGAATGCGCGAAAGGTTGGCCATCAAATTTCAAGTTCATGACTACCTCAATCTCGTAAAGTACTCGATTCTGAGATCCCCCTTCACTTTGTAAAGTAAGCGACCCTAATCTGACAGAATGGGTCTTTCTTTTATTTTCTTGCTTTCCTGTTATCCTTTCTTAAGCTCAGCATATCCAGAATATGGTAAAATTGTCGCATTTACGACATCAAATTTACCCAACCGCAGTATAAAGCAAATCATTTATGATGAACATTATAGAGTACACGTACCTTGTGAGCTCATTCCAACTTTACAAGTGGACATGTTTCTAAAGCATTACCAAAACTGTCCATCTCTTACCTGTACCAGTGATCCAGTGTGGCTGCATAGTGCCTTCCTATGTGTTTTATCTCTCCAATCTTCAAGTCGTTTGGTAAGGATGACTTGATGGCACCTAGTTTTTTTGAATAAAGATGAAAGTGGAAGTATAGATAAGACGAACCAATTGAAGGCATATGTCCTCCCGGAAATATATATTTTTTGATGAAATCTGACGATTTGCAGTATTGTTCATAGTAAGCGTCGGGACAGATTATACCCTACAATAGCCATGTGTCTCGTAAACATTTATATCTAACTCGAAAACTCGCCTGCAATACTGCTTTTCCACCTGGAACAAGACGATCTGATAAGACTTGGAAATATTGAGGGAGGAAAGCTTGTCCTACTGCTTCGATCATTTCCACTGAGACTATCTTGTCATATTGTCCTGATGCTAATCTGTGCAATACTGACTTCAAAATTAGCCAAGTATAAATGCAGATATTTTTGAAAGCTTATCTACCTGTAATCTTGGTATTTGAGGCAGATTTTATCCTCTAGCCCTGCTTCCTCTACCTTGCGTTTGGCCCAGTCAAGTTGTTCATGTGAGATGGTCAGTCCTGTCCAGCTGCATTTGCTTCTCTAAATAAGTGTTCCAAGAAACTGGAATAGTTCTATCTCCTCTTGTAGGTCCTCACCTTAACTGCTCTAATTGCAAAAGCTCCCCAACCGCAGCCTATCTCCAGGACTCTATCAGATGGACTGGGCTCCAACATGTCGACTAGCGCATCTATTTTGCGATTTTGAGCCTCTTCTAGTACTTTTAAGTCAACCTGGTTCACCGGTTGGAGTGGTTCTGTAACTGATTGAGTTCTTGTGTGCCTCTTGCGGAAATTTCTTACCTTGGAAAATGGCGCACGAGTAAGTCATCGATGGATCGAGAAACATTCGGAACATGTCATTTCCAAGATCGTAGTGGTCTAAAACAAAACGGAACTTTAGCCTCTAGTAAATGAGTGAGGATTTTGAAGGCAGTTTCCATGCATCTACGCTTCGATTATATCCCCACAAGAAGGCTCTACGAGTAGGACGAGTAGGACGAGTAGGACATCTTCACTGGTCCGGCCCTCCAATGTGGCCTCTTGATGGAAATGTTGGAACTCGCGAAAGTGCTGCAAGCGCTCAGCCTATTGAGCTTTGCCCACCCAGGTACTGTATGTACCTTTGGGGTAGGGTTCCCGGGAATGTTCTTCAGAGGTCTTGTATATTTTGCAATTCATATATGTAATCAGGGCCACGAAAACGCCCCAGAATGACGAAAGCATGGATTTTATGTGGATACTGCCTTCAAGATGGACTAACCTTCAATGTTTTTCGCACTCTGAGTTAGCGTGTTGTCGTGAACACGGTGCTGTAGGTAGCAGTAAGTGGCTACTATCCTTCGAATAGAATTCAGAATCAGTTCACTAATGCGACTTATACATTTTGATAAGAATGAGGACTTCTTTGATGGATCTCGTTTATGTTGTTCTGAAAACCTTTTCGGTTTGACTGGAGATTCTTCTCTGGTCGATAATGGCTTACTTTTCGCTCGTATGAGAAGACTGAGGAACTCTCTCGGATCAGGATGCGCCGACCAGTCACCGGCCATGTACGCCTCTCCCAGACCCATTTTCTGGTCGAGAAGCATTAACCAACAAAAATGGATGGGATTATGTAGGAACATAGTCACAGAATGGATGGCGCTAGAATTTGAGTGTGCAACCCTTTGAAACGAGGTCAGTACGGATGTAAAACAGTGATTACAATAAAAATTGAGCCATACAAAACTCACTCATTATTATTCTGCATTTCCTGGCTTCCATATTCCACCGTATCTGCTGTGGGCGTTATTTTTAGACTCAGCTTCTCTGATGATTTTCCCACTATGGCGTTGAAAAATCTGAAGTTTATTGATTTATAACAAGGTTTCGGACAGCGCCAATTGGTATTGTACTAGGTCTAGTTCTAAAGAATGGAAGTTTTGCATTAGAAACTTTGTGGATGCTTTATATCTCCCAGATTCAATGAATCCCGTTTCGAGAAAACTGCATTTTTTTGTTACTGCTTAAAGTAAAAATTGCTGCTGTCATATAGCGCCAATACAAGCTGAGACAACTTACATATTGTATTTTTTGGCTGCTAAAATTGCTGATAAGTCAAGGAAGCTGATGGTTTAGTAAATCTAATTTTACTTTTGGTTTCGGTTTCATAAAACACTTGCTAACTAAATAACGAGCTGGTTAGAGATCTTCACAAAAGATGGAAATTTTATATTATTTAACATCCTCTTTTAGCTCAATCAGTGTGGCCTTGTGTGTGACCATATTATACATCTTATACTCTATGGTAAATTATTACATAGAGCGTTTCAGGCACAGACATTCTGGACGGATTTCTAAATTTCTATTGAGACCTTTGCTCCAAACTAATATGATCTTACCTACCTACTAATGAAAGGAAGGCACACATATTGCACTAGCAAGCAATATCCATAGGAGTGTTGCCTTTGAGTTGACATCGATGTATGTTAGAGAAAGCGACTGTGAAGCTGGTCACCGAATTGCCAATTGCCGTGCGCAACAGGATCTTTACTGGAGAACATGTATTGTGTAGCTGATATGCCAGTGAAACAAACATCAACTCAAGTTCGGATGTAAAGCGATTCAAGATGTAGAACAGGGAAAGTCAGCGGAGAGGAATATGAATCTGAGATAAGATCTCGAAAGTGCCAACTTTTTTCTCTTTGAAGAGATCACATCTGGCTGGATGAACCAAGTTCTAGACTGATGGCTGTGTGCGAACTTGAATCGCGAAAAGAAGTGGTGCATAGAAGCTGTGAGTGAATGTTTCAAGTTGATGTAGCAACACATCATTCTGGAAAATACTGCTCCATTTTAGAAGTGATTTTCCTATGATTAGTCATAGAAAAAAAAAGATGCAGGCTAATCATGAACATCCTTTCCTCAACTTTCCCGCTGCTACGTCCTCTTATTTTCCGTCTTCATCCGCAAGTGATTGCACATTCTTCCTCATCCTTCAAACTTTCATAACACTGCAAAGCAAATACCAGGGCTCGGCACGAGGTGGCTAGTTGAAAATGCAAAAAACGAGGTCCTCCTTGACTTTTGCAAATTTTTACGAAATCCCCTTTGACCCTGGACCATAATCCCTTAAAAAATCCCCAAAAAACGGAACGTTGACTAAAAAAAAGTCGCAATTTCTTCGTTTTTGCGATCTCAAAAACTAAACCCCCTTTGCTTTTTTCCCATAAACAATATCCAGCTTGCTTACAAGCCACCTGTGCTGAGCCCTGGCATACACTAATTCGGTATCAACCATTAGGGTTAGTGCTAGTTTAAAAACGTTCATGGGCCTCATTCCAGTTTTTGTAGTAACAATGCTAAATCATTAGCATTTTGTCTAACAAGGAAAGTTGTTTCACCTACTTCACTCGAAGTGGACTTTCCCAATGAGATGTGTATCATTCGGAAGCTCTTTGAGCGCTGTTGGAAACAACCTTTCGTAACCTGCTTATCGGTTTACGGTCGAAGAAGGTTAAGGCATTTTTCCGCTTCCAATTTGTTTGGCCAGGTACTGTCTAGATTTCCTAAATTGGAAGTAAATGCGAATTTGCTCCCAAATTACATGTCTGAATGTCTGAGATATATTCATCTTACATAAAAAATTCGATGGGAATTTTGAAGCTACTCTGCTACATCATTCCTGCAATAAGCACCGAATTCAGTGTCATGGGTCCTAACAAATGCCTATAACTTGTTCAATAAATCGATAAGAGCAGATAAGGAAAGCATATCCGCAATCAGCCTTTAAGGTTTATTGATGGATCAGTCGATTACACAATTTTGTGATCTTTTCGTCCATCAGTTTTTTGCGAATTGTAGGTTATCTATTTTTTGTGGAGCCTACTCTGCTCAATTAGGAACAAAGTTCCTCGAAGAGAATGATTGAGTGAGGCTTTGAATTTTCATATGCAAACTCACAGTGTAGAGTTTCTGAGATAGGTGCGATCTGGATAATTGAAAAGTCCCATGGATAAACTGAGTATTGTTGCGGTAACTGAATCACAAGCTAACTGCTCAAGAGATGAGAAGGACAAGATGGGACTGTCTTGGTTGATTCAAAATCATTCAATGCGAATTGAGTGCGCAGCTATTTCGGAGTGGTTTGAGTGCCTCAACCTACTTAGTCTAATTACTCGACGAATCTCAGTCAAGGCTAAACTTGACAGCAACGAGTGAGCTCTCGTCTAAGAGATTCTTTTGTGGTACCAATGTTTTTTGAAATACCGAGGTTGTAGAGTTACAGTCATTGGTGAAAACGGACATGTACCGGATAGTCTTGGAGTTCACGAGATTGGTTGCGGGTATATAGAGCCAAATGGATGTTTAGGTTCAGCAGTAATGTGATTCAAAAAAAAAGAAGAATTCAAATGAGAATGACCAACGAGCAAATTTTAGAGTGATGTGTGCGGTTACAGAAAAATAACCAGCTTCGGGTATTGCACAGAAATTGAAAATCGCTGCCTCAGTAAGTAGCCAGTAAAAGATCCTTGCTCAACACCTCCAAATACGGTAAAGAAGTCAATACCACGGCGGTGACTAGGTTCGATGGGATCATAGGGATGGCGCAACGGTCGAATACAGGTTGCAGACAGCATCCCAGAGCGTGGTGATGACTTGAAATGGATACAAAGTGCGGTGGATTCGTGCGCGGGTGGCTCGACTTCGCGTTCACTTTCTTCGCGCAGTCATCCAGTTGTGGAACGGCCAGTGGCCGCATTACGCGAGTATTCTGACCAAAGTCGTACGAGCTCACGATCTTAATTACCTCAAAATGCCTTAGCCTTGAATGAAGAACACACGCTTACATTTGAAGATCTTACTTTTTCAACGCATTTATGCAGTTACATGATACCCATATCAAACGATGTACTAGGCGCTTAATTCCACTGAGATAAGCCCCATCCTATTTCCGGGGCCTAAAATGTCATTCTTTCGCTTTTCGTGTATGGGCGCCCTGTCGACCACTGAAACTCTCTGTTCTTGTCTACCAGAGCATTACAATTTATTGATGTTTCCATCACTATGGTAATTGATTCATTTGATTGTAAAAACGAATTAGTCCCCTGTATTCAATACACAAAATTATACTGGTGAGAAGATTTCTCACTAAAGGGCCGGGCATACATCACGCGTTTTCATCGCCTTGCGATTCATCCGACAAGACAACTGCTACGAGTTCAATGCATGTAGATCATCTTGCATTTTGGTTTTGATAGTTTTTCAAAACAACTAATCTCGACCAACTGTCACAACCGAAATGCATTATGGTCGGCAAATGGACTCGTAACAGTTGTCTTGTCGGGAGAATCGCGAGGCGATGAAATCGTGCGATGTATTCAGGCCCTTGACAAGCGAATTTATAATTCATGGTAGTAAACTTCCCTCTTCGCAACATCTCATACATATTAGTTGCGGTTAAAGTATATATGTAATCAGTGGATATTTCAGATTGAGATTGCAAAGCGTCGGGGAGATAACGTACCCGAAACATGGGGAGTCGCTAAAGGTGGAAAGCCCAGCACAAATCCAAGCGAAATTTTGAGCGGCGGCGGTCTACTACCTCTGGGTGGAAGCGAAATTACGGGTAAGCTTTTGGGTACTTCTTAGACAGAAATATTGAAACATTTTTTCACTAGACGCCGTCTGTTAAATAAATCCCCACGCAGGCTTTCGATTTTGTTCAACCTTGCACATAATTTTCTCTGTTAATTTTCATTGAAATTGATCACTACATCAACAAATTTTATAGCTACTACTTCTCCCTTGAGTCGATTAATCACTATTTGTACACGTTTACGAGCTCCTGACAAAGATTTCATTTATAAAATCTGATCACAATTGTAAGCCATACTGCGAGGAAAAATCTCTGAAACTAGATGCTTGATTTACCATCTCCTTCCAGGAGGTTATAAGGGCTACGGCCTTGGTGCTATCGTAGAACTATTCTGCGGGATCCTTGGCGGTGCACACTGGGGTCCAAACATTCGAAGATGGATGGATGCTACAAGGGACGCTGATCTTGTAAGTTTACAATTTCTTTTGCCTGTGCGATAATGTAAAAAGGTATTTAAAGGGGCAATGCTTTGTTGCCATAGATCCAGAGGGCTTCGCTCCAGGATTCCACGAAAGGTTACAGGAGTTCATCAATGCTCTCAGAGGGCTTCCACCTGTGCGTTTATGAAGCCTATAAGAGCCATCAGCCTATAAGAGACGGTCATAGTAGGAATAAAATATCTCGTACTATCTAATCATCAAACGGTTTGCTAGACTAGACGGTTCATAAACGCACAGGTGGAAGCCTATAAGGCTTCCACCTGTGCGTTTATGAAGTCTAGCAAACCGTTTGATGATTAGATAGTACGAGATATTTTATTCCTACTATGACCGTCTCTTATAGGCTGATGAGGATTTGAAAGTTCTTGTGGCTGGTGACCCAGAGAAGGAACATGAGAAGATGGTGAAAGATGTTGGCGGCATACCCTATCATCCGAATCAAATCAAGAATGCCGTAAGCTAGAGTTTCACAAAACAGAGGAATAATTATCATGATTCATGTGCAGGATGAACTCGCTGCAAGGCTCAATGTGAAAAAGGTGAACGTTATAAAGGAATTCTGATGAAGATGGTTGCGGGATTACAATGACTCACTTTATGAAATTAACATGTTCACGGATATATAATATAATTTTCAGAGTGTTTAAACTGCATAAATTTTGTATAAACTGCTGTTACATTCCTAAGTACGCCAGCACATATTTTGATTTCTCAGCTGAGTATTGCTTTATCGCTTTCCATGCAACACTATTCATGCCCCTTTTCTATTTTATAAATTCACGATACCTCAGTACGGACTATTTAGCGGCGTTCGAATCGTCTCTCCGAAACGCCACACAAGAGCATCACCTGAACTTCAACCATCCCCATCGGATCTAAAATATATCTAAGGCTCGGCACGAACTGGCTTTCCAAAAGTGCAAAAAACGAAGTCTTCCTTGATTTTCGCAAAATTTCACGAAACCCCCTTTAACCCTAAACCCTAAACGTAAAACCCTCAAAGAAACGACTCTCGCCTTAAAAACGTTACCTATTGTGTTTTTTTCGCACAAAACGATATCCCCTTTGTTTTAAGCTCGCTTATAAGCACCTGTGCCGAGCCCTGATTGTTTGATGGTTCTACAGATAATTTATCACGAAGAATCATCATATGTTGGCACACGATATAGTGCTGTAATGTACCGTAAAATTTTGCATATACTGCGCTTTATTGAAAAGGATTTCTCTTCAGTTGTAACTTCTGCAAAATTGGATCAAGAGGACTTTCAGTGATAAGGAGTGATAAGGGTAAATAATCACTACCATGACGCAAAAAATGGTAAGGATTTGCTCTTCCTTGTCTTGGTGTCGCATGCATTAACATCCCCGCCAGGGAGGGGATATGAAAAAAGCTGCAATTCTTTAAAGGCATTCCTTTGAAGGCAGCGTACGGCCAAAATCTCGCTACCAAGGTTTTGACGTTTTCTGGGCTAAACGGTGCTGTAGAAACCGAATATTAGCTTCAAATCTCATGAATTTTCCAAAAACTGGCCTTTTTTGAACCTTCCCAACTTATAGGCAGCGTCCAGGCAGATCAGAGCTCGACGACCACGCCCACTTCCCTCGGACGGCCAACCCGTTATGAACGAAATCTCCTCAGCCTTGACGTGTTTTCACATGACCAACACAGTCGAACTTACAGCTTTTATATGTTAATACTTGCTTTCGATAAGGATAACATCAGAAGCATCAGAAGCACTCGTCCGCGTTTTCCCAAAATAGCCCCAAAAATGGTTTTCTGAGAAATTCACGCTTTTTGAGTTCCATATTCGGAATCAGCGCCATGGAAAGGCCTGGATAACATCAAAATATAGAAGTCGAGACTACCTGGACGCTGCCTTTAAACTCCATATATCTTGATTTGACGCTGTCTACCTATCTGTAGGTATTCCCACTAGCTATTATAAACATCCTGAACAGGAGCGAAAAGGTGTAGAAGTCGCATTTTTTTTGTATGGCTAGCGACAATATGGGCAGCTAGCAAGAGGGTTGAGGCAACATTATCGGCTGTATAGTTGTGACTAAGAAATCCTCTACATTTTGTAGATTCCCTAAGAGCTACAGGTGACCTTCCCCATGCAACAGTCTCGCAAAAAAAAACAATGAACTTTACAGATCGTTCGACATTTCTTAAAAGTCCCGTAACGATCTTACAAGCTTTTAGGAGAAAAAATTTGATATTTTATAGAATACTATGCCCTCTCATCCAAGACCAGATAATAGACTTCCTCCTCTCCATGGCTTTTACAAAACCTATTCGAGAACCCTTTAAATTGAGTTCTGCCAGGCTATGAAAATCTCATAAAACAAGATACCTTCTTCAAAAAAAAATCGACTCGTGATGAGATTTCGTGCGCCGTCTTATCGCGATATTTTGCGAGTTCTGGGCAACATGAAACCGCTTGCTTAATCGATGACTTTTGATCTCCTCGTTTTTGGGTTAAGTTTTTCCAGCAGCCTCCATTGAAAGTCATCTCAGAAGCAATCCAACCCCATACGATGATTTATCTCACAAAAGACAGCTTAACACTCAAAAGATGCTCTAGTTCTTGAAAAGTGTTGGGAACGAAACTAAACATTGCTATCTAATACCTTACGCCTATGGGTCATTTTTTATGAGAAAGAGCTGACCCACAACTCCAAAAGAAGCGATACACATAAGAACTGCCCTACGTCGCCTTTAGAACGATAATTTAGAAGAAAAGCTGCTCTACGAGCTGCCTACAGACCAAAAGTTATGAAAAAGTTATAAAAAACAGTGAGGCCGCTTATCAGCAGATAGTTTGTAAAACTACCCTACCAGCCCCGATATTTTGAGAGAGAACTTTCCTACGGACCGCCTAGAGAAAACTTTCCTACCTGTCGCCTAAGGCCCCGGATAGACTTCACGCGATTCAATCGTCGCGACTCAATCACCAACATTTCCATTCATTTTCATTTCACATTCAAAAATTTCGGGCTGGAAAAGTATCACAACCGAAATGCAAGTTGATCGGCATGGAATGATGTTGTAACAGTTGTCTCGTCGCTCAGTCGCGACGATCAAATCGCGTGAAGTCTGTCCGGGGCCTAAGAATACTTTCAAACGGGTTGCCTACAAAGTGGTATTTCTAAAATTGCTCCACTCCACCTCTACAAACAATATTTTGAAATTCTGTCACAAGGGCTTCCTACAAAGCCAATTATGAGAAAGCTATATGGACCGCTTACAGACAATTCGGAAAAAAGTTGGCCTGCGAGCTCTCCGCAAATTGATTATCCACTATTAAAAGGAACCCTACAAGCGCAATACTTGACAAAGAACCGCCTTACGGGTCACCTACAGATCGCACTCATAAAAGGGAACTGATCTACGGGCCGCTTAGACCAGTATTTTGGAAAGAACTGCTCTAAGGGCAGCAACCTTATTAGGTAAAGTTATTTCTCAAAGAAGAACTGCCTTACGAGCTTCATACAAACCGACATTTTGGAAAAAAAGGCTCTATGGGCCTCTTGCGGACCGTCACAGACGAATGTCAATGAATTTCTGGAAATGCCCTGAGAGCCGCCAGTGACCAGTATTTCAAGAAACAACCGAGCACGGTCAAGCATGAGATGTGGAACGCCACAACTGGGGAGTCGTGAGGGGTCAGGGTGGGGGGGGGGGTCGTTATCGAGGTTTTAGTGATGTTAGCGATAATATGATGCTCGTAGATGTCAGACAAACCCATTATGCAAATACAGGCACATTGAGGTGTTGAACCATTGTATACTTACAGCAAGCATGATAAAGAAGCTTTAAAAAGTAAAGAACTTTATTTCTGTGATTAGCATGCCAAATAACCCCTGTGGATCAAGATTTAGCGAATTCTGAGTTCTCCAGATACTGGACCACCCAAGTGAGATGGTCACTATCAAACATGTTAACTTTGTTTCAGAGGTGAGTCTACTTTTTTTTGCAAATTACAAATTAAGAGCATCTATTCTTTCTTCGCTCACACTAGAAATCCCACTTCATACTGCGAAATTATAAAATCCAGAGCGAGCCAAAATTCCGTTCGTCCCAATTTTCGCTTTCGACATCTCAGACTAGAAACGACCAATGAGGCTCAAAGCACTCCTGTAAAAATCACGAGGTTTAGACCATCGAATGCACATATCCTTGTTGCCTATCCTCGCGATCTACTTACTAGCGCAGACTTAACATGCCAGTAATCTAAACTGAATTCGCATAGGGTATGCAAAACGACTATATCTCTCCCTATGAGAAACGATTTTGAATAAAATCATAGCACAGAGAAGAAGGTTGAGCAGTTGCATCAATTAAAAAGCACATTAATTCCACATTGTGAAGGTTATTTGAAGTGGGTCTCATGTGGAGAAAGAAGGGGTTGTGCTTTGTATTGAACACAGAAGAATGTAGCTGATTCACCTTGAATTAAAGTTAACCATGTTTGAGAATGACCTTCACATGGGTGGCTCAACATCTTGAACCCTTAGAAGTTGCTGAAACTTGGCCTACAGGGGTTATTTGACATGTAATTACAAATTTGTTACTAATTCTGCTTGATAGAGCCTCAATGTGATGCCTACGGTGGGAAAACGGTAATGCTGGAGAGAGGGGGGACGGGTTTAGACAGAACTTGGGAAGGGGGGGGGGGGGTCGTATCCTGCGGTTGTGTGCCACACCTCTTGCTCAACCACGCAACCGAACTGCAAACCAAGATTTCGAGAAACAATTTGTGAGTCGCTTATCGCTTATGGCTTGTCTATATCTTACTGCCCTACAAAAACAATATTTTGTGGAGGGACTGCCCTGAGCACCGCCTATAGACCGATAATCATAAGACGCGCGGTGGGCAAAAAAATTGCTCTACCACCCCCTCCCAATGTTTTTGAAAAAATTTGCCTTATGAGAAGATTACAAGACGATGATTTTAGAAAGTACTGCCTTAGCGGGACATCTTTCCTCAAGATATTGGTGTGTAGGTAAGGCATTTTTGTGAAATCCTTCATGGACTGAGGATTAAATATTGAGACTGATGTTTTTGCAAACTCCTAAGACAGTTACTTCCTATTGATAATGGTTTGCGAGCGGAAAGTAGGGGCATTTCGATCGTGCTCCCAGGCCTGTCAAAAATTATGATCATGTTCGAATAACATGGCTATCCACGGCGGTAAATATAACCGTAAGCCATGACTGCTGAGGGCAAATTTTACGCCCAGATGTCGGTCAGTAGGTAAGACATTTTTTGAGATCCTTCAAGAATTAAGGAAAAACGCTGAACAATGAGATTGAGTTCTTGTAGCATAGTAATGCAGTTAATTGCTTAGTAACGGTCTGTGAGCGGTACGTGCGGCAAAAAAACGATGTTCAAATCCGCTGCCAAAATTTGGATTCAGAAACTGTCATTGCAATTAAGAGCAAAGTTTTTTTTTGTAGGATCACATCCTTTTGCGCAAATAGCCGTATGTAAGCGGCAAGTAGGGCATTTCAAAAACATTTTAAGGACTAAGACATTATTTTGAGAATCAGAATGTTTCTTGCAGAAGCGGAACTGTTTCTCTTTCATGATACCGAGCTCTAAGATACATGGGGTGGTATTTTCCGAAACAACGTTGCCATTCGTTGCCAAAATTTTCAAGATTGGAGC